GATGATGATGATCATGCTGCTGCTGATGATGATTGTGATGCTACTGATAATGATGATGGTTCTGCTGATGATGATGTTGTTGTTGATGATGCTGATGACGATGATGACGATGATGATGTTCATGCTGATGCTGATGATGATGGCGATGCTGCTGCTGATGATGCTGATGATGATGATGCTGATCATGCTGATGCTGGTGATGATGCTAATGATGCTGATTATGACGATGATGGTGATGCTGGTGATGATGATGATGACGATTGTGTTGCTGGTGCTGCTGATGATGGTCATGCTGCTGCTGATGATGGTGGTGGTGGTGATGCTGATGATGATCATGCTGACGATACTGCTGCTGCTGATGATGAGGCTGATCATGATGCTGCTGATTATGCTGATGATACATATGATGTTACTGCTGCTGCTGTTGATGACGATGATAATGCTGGTGCAGATGCTGATGATGATGCTGACAATGCGGATGATGATGACGATGTTGATAATGCTGATGATGCTGATGCTGATGATGTTGTTGATGCTGCTGCTACTGATGATGATGCTGATGATGATTATGATGATGATGAGGATGATGATGATGCTGCTGATGATGCTGATGATGATGATGCTGCTGCTGCTGATGATGATGATGATGATGATGATGATGATGCTGCGGATGATGATGATGATGATGATGATGGTGATGATGATGATGATGATGATGATGATGATGATGCTGATGATGATGATGATGATGAGGAGGAGGAGGAGGAGGAGGAGGAGGAGGATGAGGATGAAGAGGAGGATGAGGAGGAGGAGGAGGAGGAGGGGAGGAGAATGAGGAGGGGAGGAGGAGGAGGAGGAGGAGGAGGAGGAGGAGGAGGAGGGGGAGCATGGAGGAGGATGAGGAGGAGGAGGAGGAGGGGAGGAGGAGAAGATGAATCCAGGGGATGAGGAGGAAGAGGACGAACACCAGCAGGAACGATAGCTGGGACAAGATTGATGCGAAAGAAGAGGAATCGGTGTGGGGGAAGAGAGTGAGGGCTGAGATGAGGAGGAGAAGAACCAGGAGGAGGAGGAGGAGGAGGAGAGCAGGAGCAGGAGCAGGATGAGAAGGATGAGGAGGATGAGAAGGATGATCGGGAGGAGGAGGATGAGGAGGAGGGGGGATGTGAGGAGGAGGAGGAGGAAGAGGAGGAGGAATATGAGGAGGAGGAGAAATAACAGGTGGAACGTAATACTCATCATGCAATCAATACTAGTAATACGATTAACTAAAGACAGCAATAGTACTACTAATACTACTCATCATGATGACCAGGAGGAGGAGGCGGCGGAATCTGAGGAACATTAACACGCTAACCCGTGTGGCTCCTTGAGGGATCGCCCAGCGGCGAGAACTCTTTTGTGAAAACTTGCCGATCTTCCTGCCTCCGCTCCCTTGCTGCCAGTCCTCTTTAATTTTCACCAGGGTTCGACAAGACTGAAACCCAGATGGAACCCCAACCCTTCGCATTTCTCGCGTTCGCCCCCACCCCCCCCCCTCTCCCCCTCACCCTGCCCTCCCCCAACAAAAACCGCCTACAATCTATTTCCGCGAGCATGTGTAACGCTGCGCCGACCAAAGGTGGATCCCCCCCCCGCTCTCCTCCCTCATCATTCCTTCTGCTTGCTATGGTATGACTCATCCACTGTTCTGAGGATCCTCCTTCCTCGCACCCCCTTGTCCTTTTCCTCCTTCCTCCTCTTTCCACTCCTCCTGCTTCTCACCTTTTACCTCCTCCCACTGCTTACACTCCTTCTTCTTCTCATTATCATCATTCACCTCATTACGATTTCTCCTGGTCCTCATCCTAATGCTTTACTTCCTCCTTCTCCTCCTGGTTCTCCTCACTCTCTCTCCTCGATCCCTCTTCTACTCCTCTTGCTCTTCCTGCTCTTCCCGCTCCAGCACTAGCTAGTACTCCTGCTCCTGTTACTGATGCTCCTCATCATCATGATCCTCCTCGTTCTCGGAGGAACTGGCGGTTCTTTATTCGTCTCTACCTTTGCTGCATCCGCGGCCGAGGCGATCGACCAACTCGGTTGACGATCACCCCAGACGAGCGCACCGCCCGTGCTCGTATCGATGTGCTCCTGTTCCAGACATGCGATCTTTGACTCGTTCAACGCCGGGCCCCCAGAAGTCCCGCCCCTATCTCTGGAGGCAGGAAAGGGGCATGGTAGAAAGGGGTGTTGCGCCGATCCTATGCAAAAGGGGTGCTGTGCTGACTTACATATGTTGAGGGGACTCTTCTTCGTCGCAGACCGCATCGCCATGTCCGCGACTGGCACCACACCCCTTTACGCCACCCCCCTTCCCGACCTCCAGACCTCCCCCCAGGGCCGAGCTTCGCCTCCCGCGGCGCTCCTGCTGCGGCCCCGGAGCCCGGCGGGGGGGGGGCCGGTCGGCGGAGGCCGACGGCGGTCAGAGGAGCCTCCCGCCGCGTGCCTTGTGCGACGCCGCTCGGGGCCGTGACCCGTCCCCCCGGAGCGGCTCGCTGCATCCGCCCCCTCTTTTGCGGCCGCCTCCTCCTCCTCCATGCTCCCCCTCCTCCTCCTCCTCCTCCTCCTCCTCCTCCTCCTCCTCCTCCTCTCCTTCCTCCCCTCATGCTACTCTTGTTTTCCTTGCTGTGCGGTCTTATTTCCGTTCTGCCTTTGTGAGTTTTCTGACCGCGCATCCTGCTCCCCCTCCTGCACGGTGGCACGATGTGCCCCAGTGGCACCCCCGTGTGGGCCTCCCCGCCGGCGCAGGCCTCCCTTTGCCCCGCCGCCGACGCAGGCATACCTTTTGTCGGCGCCAGATCGGACGGGGCTAGCTAGGACGAGGAAGCGTCCGTTCCAGAGCGCTCCGGGACGCTCTCAGAGTGCTCCTGGACGCTCCGAGAAGGCCGCGGCGCCCGAAACATCCTCCAGGGCCGCCGTCTCTCCGAGATTCTCGACTCACCCTCGCCCGATTTTCTCCTCGTCCTGGCTTCGTCTTACGAGCACGTCTGGGATTGCTGCCCGTCGCCCAAAGAGGGTGGCCCCAGACCTCGCTCCGAGCGGTGCCTGCCCGGCTCCTGCTGCACGGATCCGTCTGGTGCGGCAGGGCTCACGCAGAGGGCCGCTTCCGGCCGGTCCTGGAGGTTGAGCACGGGCAGAAGTCTCCCGCCGCGGGTTTTCCCGACGCGAGCATGTCTGGTCGGGGGAAGATCCCCAGACCCCCGACGTCGTGATTCTTTCATGACGTCGACTCCCAGAGGTCTGGACCTCTTCCCCAGGACCAGTTTCTCATCCTGAGTCGTTTCTTTTGACGGCCCAGTGGCGTGGTAAGGGCCCCTTGAGGCCGAAAGCAGCGAAAAACCTCCGTCGTGTCTTTTTCGCAGCGTGAGGGGGTCTGGGTCTATGGCGACCGCCCCCGCGTGCGTACCGTGCCCACGCGGTGTTGCAGGCCTCGGGCGCGGCCTCGGCCCCGACGCGCCCCCTGCAGATCTGGCCGCCGCCGTGGGGGGCTCTCTCGCCGCCGGGGCCGCGCGCGCGGCGGGCAAACTGGCGCACCACTGCTTTTGAGTCGGGCACGTCCCTCTACAGGAGGAACATTCAAAAAGAGTAAAAAAATAGTCAGGGGACGATCTTTCTTTTATTGGAGATAATTTTAGAGTTTCTTTTTGAGTGTTGCTTTCTTCTTTCAAAATCCGCGGGTATGAGGACATGCCCGACCTAACACTGATTCTGGCCCGGGGGAAAATTTTTGACCACCAGCCCCGCGCGCGTACCTTGTACCAGATCAGCGTGTTCGTCGGGGTGGTGTGCAGCAGTCGTATCCCCAGGGGCTGCCATTTTGCACATAGCCCCCTCTCCACGGTCTCGTGCCGGACCAGCTTGTCTGGGGTGCTGGTGTGCAAAAGTCGTGTTCCCCTCTGGGCTTCGTTCCTCCTTCGGCGCCCCGCGCGGATGTCTTGGATCGGCGCTGGAGCCCCCTCCCTGGCGCGTGGAGCACGCCAGGACCGGCGCCAGAGGCGCCGCCAGGGGGCCCCGGCGCAGATGCCAGAAATCTTCGTGGACGCCCAGAAGTTTGTGTTCACACCCTTTTTCTTCGTTCGAATGAAGGAGGAACGAAGAGAAACTCATGGATACGAATGTCGGGCCAGACGAAAGGGGGGATTGGGAAAGGGGGGGTTACGAAATCTGCTGCATGCAGCTGGTTTCGGCCCCGCCGAGGGGCTCATTCCTCGATACATAGCCGCCTCCGGCGCCGGGATGCGGCGGGAAAATCATTTACGTGAGCTGATTCTCAAACCCCTCCTTTGCTATCCCCCCCCCTTTCGCCCTGCCCGAGAATGCGAGCTGTGATTACGTCTGGGGGCGATCTCTATTCGGCCTTCGTCGCCCCTCGGGCCCTCGAGGACGGAGAGGTCCAGAGCATGAAGATCAAGGCCGCAGAGTGGGGCGCCATAGCCTTCATCCGGCTGCTGAACAAGAGCGCGGCAACCAGGCGCCCAGGGCCTGGGCGTCCAGGAGAAGGAGGGGGAGGAGGAGGAGGAGGAGGAGGAGGAGGAGGAGGAGGAGGAGGAGGAGGAGGAGGAGGAGGAGGAGGAGGAGAGGAGGAGGAGGGGGAGGAGGAGGAGGAGGAGGAGGAGGGAGGAGGAGGAGGAGGACGAGGGAGGACGAGGAGAGGAGGAGGAGGAGGAGAGGAGGAGAGGAGGAGGAGGGAGGAGGAGGAGGAGGAGGAGGCGGAGGAGGCGGAGGAGGAGGAGGAGGAGGAGGAGGAGGAGGAGGAGGAGGAGGAGGAGGCGGGGGGGGGAGGAGGAGGAGGAGGAGGAGGAGGAGGAGGAGGAGGAGGAGGAGGAGAAGAAGGAGGAATAGGACCAGTGTAAGCCCGAGACTCATCAACAATGCTGCTATACACCCTCCTTCCAAGTTCCTTCTTCATAGGCTCCTACACGGGTTCACTTTCGCAGAGGGAACTGCCCCGTTGGAAGACAACCGTTTGAACATCTTGCATTGTGCCAGAACGCCCTCCCTAGGTTTCAACGCCGCGAATCACCCTTACTGCCGCGTCTTCACGATCCATAACAGTGCCAGAACGCCATTCCCGGGACTTCGACACCGCGAATCAACTTGACTGTTGCGCCCTGATATCCCGGCATCGTGCTAAAACACCATGTCTGAGACGCTTACCCTGGAAGTCCTCGAAACTCCTTGCGAACTCTTAAAACGAATGTGCGCGGCGCTGAGGCGAGACCAAGATTTTGGAAAGCAACCGCCCTCCATCCGTGAAGCTCTTGCAAACGCTTTAAGCCGTATGGACGGCGCTAAGGCGAGAGCCACATTTTGGAAACGGACAGCCCTCCATCCGTGAAGCTCTTGCATTTGTTTTAAGATGAATGTGCGCGGCGCTGAGGCGAGAGCACATACATGCTTTGCTGGTGGTTGATTCCTCAGAGGGAGTTGCGTCGCGAGGAGGTGTGTTAGATATGTCTGTGCAGTCTTCTCTGACATATCTGGCTCTGCAGTCCTTTCTGGCTCAGGAGTGGACTTCGGGCAGGCGTGGCCGCTCCTCTCACAATTGGGGGCGGCCGCATCTGGAGCGGCGCTCGGCCAGTTCGTTCGCGAACGCCCGCAGCACTGCCATTGCGACTGCGACTGCCGAGGCGACCCCAGCATCGGTGCGGCTCTGCCGAAGCAGCTGGAGCACTGTGGGCCCGCGCCGCTGCCAGCGGCCGAGGCCCCAGCGAGCCTCTCGGGGTGCTTGCTGGCGTGGCCATCGCGCTCCCAGTGCCGGTGGCGATCGCCCAGGACTTGATCCGTCGCGGGGTGGTGGGCTTCACCGCTACGTCGCCGCCGCGGGCGGCCATCACAAGCGGCCCTCAGGCTCTTGCGAGAGCGGGCGGGGAGGCGCCAGCAGGAGCGGTCCAGAGGGGCAAGAGGGGCGGCAAGGGCGTCGTGGTCACGACGTCCACTGGCAGTCTGTGAGTGCGATGGCGGCGGCAGGAGCCGCTGCCGCTGCCGTGCTGGACCGAGGCTCAGCAGCCCAGGTCCACTACGGCGCCGCCGAGCATCATGCTAGGCTGGTGGGCGCACACGTGGAGAATGATGAGCCTGCTGTCGTGTCCCCCGATTACGACGTGTTCGTAGAGTAGCTTAGCCTGGACAGTGCGGATCTTGAGGGGATCCGCTTTTCGGCCACCATCGACGTACGGCCGCGGGGAGTCCCCAGTCCTGGCAGCGTGCTCTACACCTTCGCCCCGCTGACCGCCGCCGAGATCAGCGATCTGCTCGCGGAGGCGGACCAGGTCTGCAACCTCGAGCGAGCCCGCCGCGGGCTCCCGCGGCTGGGCGAGGCCGCTCGCGCGCCTGGCGGCGCCGCGGCGGTGGCGACGCCCGTGCCCGCTGTCGTCCCCGCGCCTGGAGGAGCCCGCCTGGCTTCCGCAGACGGCGCCTGGGTCCTCACTGAACCCCTTGTCGGCCACGACATCGGGGCCGAGTTCGCGCTGCCCGTGGGGGCCGCGGTGCTGGGGACGAGGGCGCTGGTGGTCATCGACGGCTCAGTCGCCGGCCTCGAGATGCTCGCTGAGGGGGGTGACATCACACGGTGGGCCCTCGCTCGCAGCAACTTCCTCTGCGACGACCCGCTGATCTTGGCGCGGGCCCCGACAGAGCGCACCCTTGTCGAGGCCGTCGGGCTCATGACCGCATGCACGCGTCGGGCTGCAGGGGCTGCCTCCGTCTCCTTTGCTGGGGCCGTCTGTCGGGGCCGAGTGGATGGACTCAGGGATCAGGAGCGGCATCGCAAGCCTCGTCGCACCTGCGGACATGAGGCTTAGTGACCGTGGTTTGAGGCAGCGCAGTTCGGCCGCCCACGAACATTCCATCCTCCATCGCGCAGTCCACCTGCTGGCGACGGTCGATGGGCTGAACGTCAAGAACCTGGTTGGGATTGAGCTCCTCTTGCGACGGATCACGTTGCATAAGAGGCGGTGGCCGAGAACCCCGACGCCCTGGGCTACGAGGGCGGCGATCGCTACCTCGGCATCGGCGATCGGGCAGGTGGCGCACAGACGGCCCCGTCGCCGCGGGCCCACGTTGCGATGGAACTCAGCGAGGAGGCGGCTATCTTGAAGGAGAAGAGGAAGGCTCGGGAGGCTGGGGCTACCGGCGTCGCGACTGCGAAGGCCAAGGCAGGCCCCGCGGCCCCCGCCAAGAAATGAAGAAGGGAGTGGGGCGGTGTCGACAGCAGCTGCCCCTATGTTCGACGTGCACGCTGGCATGATGTCTGAGGGGGTCTCCTCGGGCAGCAATTTTGCGCGTCGCCGGCCCAAGACCTGGCCTCGCCGACGGCAAGAGGCAGCAGGAGATCGGTGCAGTCCAGGTCTCTTTCCCTTTCCCGATGCCCCTCGAGGCCAGCGCCCTGGGAGCGGCAGCGGGAGGAAGGCGCGGCTGCGCCGCGAGCGTTGGGTAGCCGTCCAGCCGGCGGCGCAGGAGGCAGTCGAGTGCGTGGACCTGCTCTTCGGGCGCGACCCGCGGGAGGTCTCAGCGCTGCCGCTGCGTGAGAGCTGATGCTGACGTCGGCCGCAGCTCCGTGCGCGGTGCGATTCACCAGCATATGTTTTCCGATGTCGCTTTGGAACATCCGTGAGTTGGTTGGTACCAGTGTGAGTTGGCTGGTACCAATGTGGATTGCGAGACGCTTGCGTGCGCGGTCTAGCCATGCGACCCGACCAGGGTGTCTCTGCCCTAGGGGCAGGTCTCGCCCGTCGATTTGACTTATATCGTGTCTCCCGATCTCGGCCGCTGTCTCGATCTCGAGAATATTGTAGCCGATGCGGGTGTTGCCGAGCACCGTCTGCGATGCGAGCCCGTGGGGTCCCGCGCCGGCGTCCGAATCCAGGGGGACAAGGATATCGAAATCACGTTCCTCAGAAGCCTCTCCGATGGTGGGGTCTTAGGTTTCAATAAGGTTTCCAATGGTAGGATCACGCCGTTCTTCGCCAAAAAGAAAACAGAATCGTCAGAGACCCGTCCTCGACTGTCGCAGGGTCAACCAGCAAATCTGCCACCCTCCTATTCCTGAGATGAGCTCGGCCGAGAACGTGAACGGCCTCGAGGCTCCCGACGGGGGCGCCCCTGTTTTCGCGGCGACGGGGGGCGCCCAGAATTGCTTCTACCAGTGCGGCGTGTCAGCTGCGCCCAGTGCGTTTTTTTTTCAGCTTCGGGGCCGTGGGGCCCAGCCAAGAAAATGGAGGGCGAACTCGGATGTGCGGGGGGGGGGGGGCCGTTGCCTTCGGAAAGGGGGGCGTCTTCCCTTGTCCGCTCGCGCTGCCGATGGGCTGGGCGTGGTCGTCTTGCACTGCCCGGGCTTTGCACGCCGAGTTGCTCAGAGAGGCTGGGTTTAGACAGGAGCTCATCATGTCGAATGTCTGGCCCGCTCCCCCTTCTGTCGGACGAGCCCATTGCTCTGCCCTGTTGTGACGACCTGACCGTTTTCGGGATGTCGAAGGATCGGGTCGATACGCGTCTCCACGAGTTCATCGGTGTCTTTGAGGGGAAGGGCTTCGTTCTGCACGAGATCTCTTGGGCCTCCACCTCCCTGGACATATTGGGGGCCTCGTTCGATGGGGCGAGGCGCGCGGGGCGGCCCGGGCCCGAGCGTGGCTTGGACTCTTCGGGGCGCTCTACGGCATGCTGCTCGGGGTGGTTGTGTCTCTGGAAGGGCCCTCGAGCGCCTCTTGGGTCACTGCGTCGTCGAGGCCCTCAACTTGCGGCCTGCGCCATCGGTCTTGCGGGCCTCCAACGCCTCCAACGTGTTCATTCAGCTTTTGTCGGTTGCTCAGGGTCTTGCTGGCCTAGGCCCTTGGCTTGGTGTCGTCATGCCGGGACTTCTGCATCTGCCTGGGTCCTCCTTCTCGCATCTTCCTCCTCTCCACCTTCCTCCTCCACCTCGTCTTCCTCGGGGCCGTGAAGAAGGGAGGAACGGGGAGGGCGAGGATGGCACGGCGAGGGACAGGAGCAGGAAAACGAGAAGAAGAAGAAGAAGAAGGATCAGGGAGTGCGAGGGCGCGGCAGAGGTGGGCGGAGGGACGAATTACTCGTTGCTGGAGGCCACCGGCAGCGCGGCGCTGGCGCTGAAGACTTAACAGAAACGCTGGTGGGGATTTTTTCCACCGTTTTCAACGTCTCAGCCTTGACCCTGCCAACGCTCCTCTTTCCCTTTACCAACTCCCTCGTCCTCCGCCGCCTCCGTAGCTGATTTTGCTCGAGTCCTTCTGGCTCAGAATTCTGGCTCGTAGCTCCGAGTCTGACTAGTTGTCTCGCCGCTACCTTTCCAGCAATGAAGTGCGCTGGCCTGCTCCTGATGGCTGTGCTCGCTGGCGTGGGTCGCGGCGCGAGCGCCGACGAGAACCCTCTGGGCAAGGTTCTCGATCTCATGGACTCCCTGGTCGCGAAGGTGACGGCGGACGGCGAGGCTGAGGACAAGGCGTTCACCGAGTACGTGGAGTGGTGCGACGACACCACCAAGACGCAGCAGAACGACATCAAGACCGCCGACACCAAGAAGGCGGCGCTGGAGGCAGCCATTGCGAAGGCCACCGCCGACATCGAGGTCTCCGAGGGCAAAGTTGAGGACCTGGCTGGCAAGATCGCGCAGGCTGAGAGCGAGCTGAAGGATGCTACTCTGATCCGCAAGAAGGAGGCCTCCGACTTCTCCTCAGCGGAGGCGGAGCTGACGGAGGCTCTCAGCGCGCTGGCCCGAGCCATTGGGGTCATAGAAAAGGAGATGGCCAAGAATCCGGCCGCTTTCGTGCAGATGGACACCTCCAACGTCCAGGGCCTCATCTCGAAGAACACAGAACGGCGTGAGCATAAACCTTCGGAGCTCCGCGTGGATTTCCTGGATCGGCGCTGGCCCCCCTCCCTGACGGGCGGAGCGCGACAGGGGGCGGCGCCGGAGGCGCGGCCACGGGGGTCCAATGCCGATCCAGGAAACCCACGCGGACCTCCGCAAGTTTGTGTTTACGCTGCTTCTCTTCCTCGATCATCTCCGGCCTCTCGGCGGTAGTGGACGCGGCCGGCCTTGACTCGGCGGACAAGCAGACCCTCGTGGCCTTCGTGCAGGGCCAGCAGTCCGCGGAGGACGAGGACCCGGGAGCGCCCGACCCGGCGGCCTACAAATCGCACAGCACGGGCATCCTGGACGTGCTGGAGAATCTGAAGGCCAAAGCGGAGGCGCTCGACGAAGCAACAGCAGCACGGATTTGCACTTCCGGAGCTCCGCGCGGAGTTCTCGGATCGGCGCGGGGCCTCTCTGGCGGCGCCGCCCCTGGGCCGGCGCCGATCCAAGAAGTCCGCATGGAGCTACGACATTTCTGTTTATGCCGCTTCGTGCGCCTCTGGAGGAGCAGCTGGCCGACCTGCGCAGGGCGGAGTCCAGCGCCAAGCAGAACTACGCCCTCCTCAAGCAGAGCCTCGAGGACCAGGCCGCCTACGACACGAAGGAGATGAAGGAGGAGAAGGCCTTCAAGTCGGAGACGGACGAGGCGAAGGCTACTGCCTCCGGCGAGCTGAAGACCACTGCCGCGCTGCTCGCCGATACGCAGGCGTCGCTGTCGAGCGTGCAGGCGGGCTGCATGCAGCTGGCGTCCGACCACGACGCATCGCTTGCGAGCCGCACGGCGGAGTTGAAGACGCTGGCCGAGGCGAAGAAGATCCTGGCGGAGACGAGCTCGGGCGCCGTGGGTCAGACGTACTCGTTCGTGCAGGAGGCGCAGGGGAAAAACAACCTAAACACAAACTTCCGGAGATCCGCGCGGATCTCTCGGATCTGCGCTGGACCCCCGTGGCGGCGCTTCTGGCGCCGCGCCGCCCATTGGCGCGCTCCGCGCGCTGGTGAGGGGTGCTCCGGCGCCGACCCAAGAGACAGCTGCGCGGAGCTAGGAAACTTTACGTCTGTGCAGCTGCTCTTCTCTTTTTTGGTCAGGCCCGCGCAGCGTCGCGGCTGCGCACGCGTGCCGACCTGGAGGGCGCGGAGCTGTTGCAGTTCGTGCGCAGGCTGGCGAAGAGGGAGCACTCCGAGGCTCTCTCGCAGCTCGGCTCCCGCATCTCCGCGCTCATGCAGTACGGAGCCTCCGCCGGCGAGGATCCCTTTGTCAAGGTTCGGGGCGAATGTGCACGCCGGTCGTTGAAAGTAGGTATTTCTGGATTCCCGGATCCCAGTCTACTTCAAGTGCCTTCCTGCTTCAAGAATCGACCTTCTTGTGTTGTGGTTTGGTATTCTCTGGGAGGGCCTGAATCCGATCTACTTTATCCGCCATGCGACTTCATGTTTTTACCTACTTCCTCCGACCGAAGTGCAACGGGGTTCAGCGCGAACGAGGGCGAACGCTGGATCCTGCAGCATCCTGCAAAGCCAGAGCATGGCTGAGCCGGGCTTGGTGAGCCGCTCGCGGCCTCGGAGGTGGCCTGGCATGATTGGCTGAGCCGGATCTCTTGGGATCGCGAAGCCCCGCAAAAAGCTGCAGAGCAGTTTTTTTGGTTTGTGTTCGGGGGAAACTGACTGAGCCCTGCGCCAAGCAGGGTTAACCCACGCTCGAAAGGTCAAGTCGTTGATCAAGGACATGATAGAGAAGCTGCAGGCCTGGAGCCGGCTGGGGGGCCGAGATGGCCCGGCACTGTTCTGGCCGGGGCAGACAGGGGGGGAGAACGGGGCCCCCTCGTCGCCACGTCTGGACGCGGCTCGAAAAATACGTCGGTTTTGATTTGCCCTCATTTCCCCCTCTTGACCGATCTTCTTTGGGCTTGTCCATCTCAGACCTCCCCGCCGCCTCCAACTCGAGGCCGAAGCTTCGGCCGCTGCCACCGAGAAGGCGTACTGCGACGAGCAGATCGCCAAGACCGAGGCGAAGAAGTCCGAGCTCGAGGACGACGTCGCGAAGCTGACCGCCAAGATCGACAGCAAGAGCGCCAGCTCCGCGCAGCTGAAGGAGTCAAGGGCAACGTTCGGGGGGGATAGGCTCACAGGGGGGTGAGTCGACTCCCAATCTCCCGCTCGTGGCCGATAGGGACCCGACGGCCGACCCCGCCCAGGAACGCGTGGATTCACTATCGGGGGCCTATCGCCGATCTATCGGCGATGCATCGCCGACTTCAGCTCGATGTTCCCCCGCCCACCCCTGAGCTGGTCCCACATTTTCGTTTCCCCTCGTAGACGCGTAGATCTCGGGAGCAGTCGAGACGAATCCGCATGCAGCTGAGGCGAGAGCCACGTCTTGAGGGCCAAGCGACCTCCATCCGTATATCTGTTGAACATGACAACGTTCCAAGTCATAGGGGGGTCAAGACGTCTCAGGCAAGGCGCCAGCCTCCCCCCAGACGTTGCCCCTCAAGGAGGAGGTGAAGGTCCTGCAGGGGGAGCTCGCCGCGCTCGCCAAGGAGCAGGCCGAGCTCACCCAGGTCAGGTCCGACGAGAACGCGGCGTTCACGAGGGCGAAGGCGGACCTCGAGCTGGGGCTGACGGGCGTGCGCAAGGCCCTGCAGGTGCCCGAAGAAGAGACAGCGGCATACACACATAAAACAGGGCCCTCGAAACTCGGACGCTGCGGACCAGGACTTTGAACGTCCCCCACCCGGGGAGACCGAAGCTTCCGAGCCTCCCGCGAGACCCACGGCTGCAGTCCCCTCGAGTGCGCAGTACGGTCCTGGCTCAGCAAAGTCCCCGTTAGGGGGGGCCCTGCCACCCATTTTTCGGGGCGCCGCGCGGCTTTCTTGGATCTGCGCTGGGCCCCCTCGGGGGGTGGTGGTTCTGCAGGCGTCTCCTCGTAATGCCCCGCATGGTACCTTACGCCTTCCGAGGCACTCCGCGCTTTCGCCGAGGGGGGCAGGGGGCGCCCCTGGCGCGCTCCGCGCGCCTGGGAAGGGGGGTCCAGAGCGCCGATCCGAGGAAGCCGCGCGGAGCTCCGGAAGTTTGTGCTCGTGCCGTCGTCTGTGCCTCGAGGTGCTCCGCAAGTACTACCAGGGCGACGGCGCAGCAATGCTGCAGTCCAGCGATGCCCAGCCGGCCAAGCCCGTGTTCCACTCCAAGGCGTCCGGAGCGGGGGGCAGCATCATCGATATTTGGCGGGCTCCGCCCTCTGCCGCCGGCAAGCCCCCGATGCTGCTTGCAGGGTCGCGCTTGATCCGCAGGTCGGTTGGTTCTCTTGTCGGCTGGCTGGCTGGCCACTCGGCCGATTGGCTTGCTGTCTAAGTTCGAGGAAGAAAACTCGGCATAAGCATCAACTTTTGGCACGGATTTCTTGGATCCGCGCCGGGCCCCCCCCGGCGGCGCCTGCGGCGCCGCCCCAGGCGCGCTCCGCGCGCCAGGGAGGGGGTCCGGCACGGGTTTAAGAAATCCGCGCGGAGCGCCAACAGTTGATGCTTATGCCGTCTTTTCTTCTTCTATTTGCCGGTTGGCTGGCTGGCCACTCGGCTGACTGGCTTGCCGTCTAAGTGGAAGGTTGGTGGTTGATTGGGGCTGTTCGTTGCGTGGCTGGTTGCGCGCGTCTGCGGGAATCGATCCGGGATGGTGTCCTCGGGCCGCGCTTCCGTGGGAGACTGCAGCAGGTCGCGGCTTCGGGGGCACGCGCCTCTCAGCTATCTTTGAGTCGGGCACGTCCCTCTACAGGAGGCATGTTCAAAAACAGTCAAACAATTTTATGGGGACGATTTGTCGATTATATTTTTGACCACTTTGGAATGTTTTTCTGTGACTATTGTTGAATTTCGTCTAAAATCCGCCTGTAGGGGGACGTGCCCGACCTGAAGCTATCTGAGAGGAGGTCGTGGCCTCTGCGGTCCAGAGCCGCCCTCCCCGGGAGACGACGGGGGGGCCCAACGGCACTACCCCAGCGCAAACCCCGGTGCAGAGGACGACAGCGTGCTCCGAGGCGGGGCTTTCTGCACGACCACCGCCTGGAGGGTCAATCTTCGTGGGCCTCGGCAGGCGGTGGGTACGAATCTATTCTGGCCCCCAGGGGCCAATAAATAAATATATATATATGTATATATATATATATATATATATATTCATTGCCCCCGCCCCCCGGGGCCCACATATATATATATATATATATATATGTATATATATATATACATATATGTATATATAAATATACAAATTGAATGTGTACATATACATTGCCCCGGCACCCGGGGTTCCCAGTTCCCGCCGGCGCCGAAGACGCTATTTGAAGACGCTATTCCCTGTGACGACGCGTCCCTGTGAAGGCGCTATTCCTTGTGAAGACGCTATCTCCGGTGAAGACGGTGAAGACGCTATTCCGGGTGAAGACGCTATTCCCGGTGAAGACGCTACTTCCGGTGAAGACGGTGTAGAAGCTATTGCGGGTGAAGACGCTATTCCGGGTGAAGATTCTATTCCTGGTGAAGAAGCGTTCTGCGGACACAGACAGCACTTCCGTTCTGAAGACGCTATTCCTTCTGAAAACGCTATTCCCGGTGAAGACGCTATTCCGGGTGAAGACGCTGTTCCGGTTGAAGACGCTATTCTTGGTGAAGACGCTAATCCGGGTGAAGACGCTATTCCGGGTGAAGACGCTATTCCTGGTGAAGACGCTATTCCCGGTGAAGACGCTATTCCCGGTGAAGACGCTATTCTTTGCGAAGACGCTATTCCGGGTGAAGACGCTATTCGGGGGGAAGGCGCTATTCCTTGTGAAGACGCTATTCCGTGTGAAGACGCTATTCCCGGTGAGGACGCTCTATTTCTTGTGAAGACGCTTTTCCTTGTGAAGACGCTATTCCCTGTGAGGACGCGATTCCAGGTGAAGACGCTATTTCCAGTGAAGACGCTATCCCGGGTGAAGATTCTATTCAGGGTGAAGACGCTATTCTTGGTGAAGACGCTATTCCCTGTGAAGACGCTATTCCGGGTGAAGACGCTATTCCGGATGAAGACGCTATGCTGGGTGAAGACGCCATTCCCGGTGAATTCGCTATTCCCGGTGAAGACGCTATTCCGGGTGAAGACGCTATTTCCAGGGAAGACTCGATATTCCTGGTGACGCTATTCCCTGTGAAGACGCTATTCCGGGTGAAGTCGCTATTCCCGGTGAAGACGTTATATTCCCGCTGAAGACGCTATTCTTGGTGAAAATGCTCCGTCTCTTCACCATGCCCAGTGTTCAACGTGCTCCCTTCCCAATTCTAATTTGAAAATGCCACTTTACTTTACGTTTTCCGTGCCTAACACAACGCGTGCCCCATCTGCTGTCTGACACCCTCTGCTAGGCAAGACCCCTCCCCAAGTTGATAAAAAAAGAATCGCTAGACATGCCCCATCTGCTGTGCAACACCCTCTTCTGGGCAAGACCCTTGATTACTGGAGGATCCCTCCCCAAGTTGTTTCAAAGAGAATCCTTGGTGCTTGACGTGCCCCATCTGCTGTGCGGCACCCTCTGCTTGGCAGGACCCCTCCCCAAGTTGATCAAACAAACCATTGATGTTAGACGTGCCCCATGTGCTGCGCGGCACCCTCTGCTAGGCAAGACCCCTCCCCAAGTTGATAAAACAAATAATCCTTGGTGCTTGATGTGCCCCTTTGCTGTGCGGCGCCCTCTGCTAGGCAAGACCCACCCCCGAGTTGATAAAAAATGAATCCTTGGTGCTAGACGTGCCCCATCTGCTGTGTGGCACCTTCTGGTAGGCAATGGCCCTCCCCAAGTTGCTTTAAAAGAATCCTTGCTGCTAGACGTGCCCCATCTGCTGCGCGGCACCCTTTGCTAGGCAAGACCCCTCCCCAACTTGTTTTAAACAGAATCCTAGACGTGCCCCATCTGCTGTGTGGCACCCTTTGTTGGGCAATGGCCCTCCCCAAGTTGGTTAAAACACATCCTTGGTGCTTGAGGTGCCCCATCCGCTGCGCGGCGCCTTCTGCTAGGCAAGACCCCTCCCCAAGTTGATTTAAAAAGAACCCTTGGTGCTAGACATGCCCCATCTGCTGTGTGGCACCCTTTGTTAGGCAGGACCCCTCCCCAAGTTGATTAAACAAAGAATCCTTGGTGCTAGGCGTGCCCCATCTGTTGTGCGGCACCTTCTTCTAGGCAAGACCCCTCCCCAAGTTGATGAAAAAAGAGTCCTTGGTGCTAGATGTGCCCCTTTGCTGTGCGGCACCCTCTCCAAGGTGAGGCCCTTTGCTGCGCCTCACCTTCTGCTAGGCAAGACCCTTCCCCAAGTTAATTCAAACATAATCCCTGGTGCTAGACATGCCCTTTTGCTCTGCGGCACCTTTGCTAGGCAAGACCCCTCCCCAAGTTGATAAAACAAAAAATCCTTGGTGCTAGATGTGCCCCTTTGCTGTGCGGCGCCCTCTGCTAGGCAAGACCCACCCCCGAGTTGATTAAAAATGAATCCTTGGTGCTAGACGTGCCCCATCTTCTTTGTGGCACCTTCTGCTAGGCAAGACCCCTCCCCAAGTTGATTTAAAAAGAACCCTTGGTGCTAAATGTGCCCCTTTGCTGTGCGGCACCCTCTCCAAGATGAGCCCATTTGCTGCGCGGCACCTTCTGCTAGGCAAGACCCTTCCCCAAGTTAATAAAAACATAATCCATTGTGCTAGACATGCCCTTTTGCTGTGCGGCACCCTATGCTAGGCAAGGCCCTTCGCCAAGTTGATTAAACAAGAATCCTTGGTGCTAGACATGCCCCTTTGCTGTGGGCACCCTCTGATAGGCAAGAGCCCTTCCCAAGTTCAATAAAAAAGAATCATTTAAAAAAGAAAGCCCGGTGAGCCCCAGGAGCCTCCTGGGGCTTCCCGGAGCTCATTGGGGCTTCCTGGGGCCTCCTGGTGCTTCCTGGGGCTGTCTTGGCCCCTCCCGGTGCCTCCTGGAGCTGTCTTGGCCCTCTCTTCGGGCGCGAATCTTTTGTGTTAAACGTATTTGCCAATAGGTTGGCCTTCTCTTGGGGCGCGAGTCCATTGTGTTTCATGCATGTGCCTATAGATTGGCCTACTCTTGGGGCACGAATGTTGAGTGTTTTACGTGCGTGCTTATATATTTATTGGCCGTATCATGGAACGCGAATCCTTAGCGTGTTACGTGATGCCTAGAGATTTGCCTTCTTCTAGGGCACGAATCCTGTGTTTTACACATGCGCGTATAGGTTGGCCCTCTCCTGGGGCACGAGTCCTTTGTGTTTCGCACGTATGTCTTTAGATTGGCCCTTTCCAGGGGCGCGAATCTTTCGTGTGTTTTTCGCATGCGCCTATGGATTCGCCCTCTCCTGGGGCGCGAACCCTTCGTGCTTTACGCATGTGCATATCGATTCGCCCTCTCCTGGAGCAGGAATCCTTCGTGTCTTACGTGTGTGCATATAGATTGGCCTTCCCCCGGGGCACGAATCCTTTTGCGTTTGACGCATGTGCCAATAGATTGGCCTTCTCTTGGAACACGAATCATCTGAGTGTTTTACGTATGTGCCTATAGATTGACCCTCTCCGAGGGCGCGAATCTTTCGTGCTTCACGTGCGTGCTGATAGAGTGGTCGTATCATGGGGGACGAACCCTTAGCGTGATTGGCCCTCTCCTGGGGCACCATCCCTTTCCAGGGGCACGAATCATTCGCGTTTTGCGTAATTGCTTATAAATTTGCCCTCCCTTTGGGCGCGAACCCTGCGAAGCGTCACGAGCTTCACCGGGCATCAGGGGAATAGAGCTTCAGGCCGCATTGAGGCTTCACGATCACGAGCTTCACTGGGCGTCGGGGGAATAAAGGCTTCAGGCCGAATAGAGGCTTCACGAAGTTCACCGGGCGCCAGGGGGATAAAGGCTTCAGGCCGAATAGAGGCTTCACGAGCTTCAACGGGCGTCAAGGGAATAGAGGCTTCAGGCCGAATAGAGGCGTCACGAGCTTCACCGGGCGCCAGGGGAATAGAGGCTTCAGCCCGAATAGAGGCTTTACGAGCTTCACCTGGCGTCAGGGGATAGAGGCTTCAGGCCGAATAGCGGCTTCACGAGCTTCAGTGGGCGTAAAGGGGAGTAGAGGCGTCAGACCGAATAGAGGCTTCACGAGCTTCACCGAGCGTCAGGGGAATAGAGGCTTCAGGCCGAATAGACACTTCACGAGCTTCACCGGGCGCCAGGGGAATATAGGCTTCAGGCCGAATAGAGGCTTCACGAACTTCAACGGGCGTCAAGGAAATAGAGGGCTCAAGCCGAATAGAGGCTTCACGAGCTTCACCGGGCGCCAGGGCAATAGAGGCTTCAGACCGAATAGAGGCTTCACGAGCTTCACCGGGCGTCAGGGGAATAGAGGGTTCAGCCCGAATAGAGGTTTCACGAGCTTCACCGGGCGTTAGGGGAATAGAGGCTTCAGACCGAATAGAGGCTTCACGAGCTTCAATGGGCGTCAGGGGAATAAAGGGTTCAGGCCGAATAGGCGCGTTTGAGGGTCGCTACCCCACCAGTGCATCGCAATTCGTAGGCCGAATAGAGGCGTCACGAGCCGAATGCAGGATTCAGGCCGAATAGAGGCTTCAGGCCAAATTTAAATAGAGGTCTCACGAGCTTCAATGGGCGTCAACGGGATAGAGGCTTCAGGCCGAATAGAGGCGTCACGAGCTTCACCAGGCGTCAGCGGAATAGAGGCGTCACCGCAGCTCCTTGGGGGAATAGCGTCTTCAAATCGCGTCTTCGGCGCCGACTCGAAGTGGGACCCCCCCGGGCCAGGCCCTTGTACATATATACATGCAAACGTATGTATGTATGTCTATATATATATATATAGACATACATACATATCCATATCCACCGCCCGCGGGGGCACCAGGACGTCGCCTCCCAGGCGGTGGATATGGGTAAGTCCCCGCCTCGCACTCTCTGCTCCGAAGACGGGGGGTGGGCGCCTGTGGGCAGCTTCCGATGGGCGGGTGCGTGGCATCGGGAGCGCGCGCGGCGCAGCGGTTTTCGCAGTCGATCGTGGCCCCCGAGGAGCGAGCTCATGGCACCGTTCAAGTCGGGCCTGTCCCTCTACAGGAGGAATATTCAAAAATAGTTAAAGAAGTCAATGGACGTTTTTGTTTGCTCTTTTTTCTCATGTTTTTTGTTTTTGTGTGTGTGTGATTATTTTTGAATGTTGTTTGGGGTATTTCCGCCTGTAGGGGGACATGCCCGACACAAGGCAACATGTTGAGCTTTTGTGGCCTCGGGAAGCGCGAGCCCGTGGAAATTTGCGAAGGGCTGTGGCGTCGGTGACTCCAAGGCGCCGTAGTTGACAGGAGGTTGTGGCCTCGGGGGCGCGAGCCGGGTGTGGGTTTTTAGGGGCTGTGGTGCTGGGGGCGCGAGCGCGCAGTAATTTAGCAGGGGCGGTGGCTTCTGGATCGCGAGTTCATGGCGAGCTGCATGATTTTGACCTCGGGAGCGCACGCTCGTCGTGCCTTCAGCGGGATTGTGCCCTTGGGGGGCGCGAGTCTGTGTTGTTTCACGCGTTCCGGGGCCCGGGGCCGATTTCTAAGGAGACGACGGGGGAGCCGAAGCAGCTCTCCCCGATCACACGTATCCCAAAGCAGAACATGACAGCTTTCTGCTCTGGGGAAGAGGTGCCGCTCTTGGGCCTCCTCCGTGGGGTCCTGGTGGCCTCGGGACGCAGTCTGTCGCAAGATGCGAGGGAAGGCAGGAGGCAACGCCAAGAATCTGCGTGCTCCGTGCAGAGCGGTCGCACGTCCAGGAGCTCCCAGGCTGGTGCAGCCGGGAGGGTCCGTCTTACCCTCGCTGGCCCCGAGCCTGTCACGCGGTGTCCCCCTTAACAGACAGCGGCCGTCTGGCAGCCAAGGCCCCAAACCGAAATCACTGTCTTGATTTGGGCGGCCACGGGACAGGAGCAGTATGTCGCGGGTGCAGACTGTGCGCCCCATTCCTGAATCACACTTGCTGTGGTGTAGGTGGCCCTGGTGAAGCAGCAGCGTGCTGGTGCGACACCAGCGCCCCAATCATGCCACAAGAAACGGCACTGCCCAGGAAGAGGCCCTCAGGTGGCGGCGCATGTCGTGCGCTGGCCCCACCAGCTTTCCTTTGAGCGTCTTGCTCCTCCTCGATCTGCGTTTTTGGAGAAGCTCTCCTCGGTCGATCGTGACAGGCACCCTGGCGAGGAGGCGTCAGTCAGCTGCGTGGCCGCGGCAGTGGGCACAGCAAGCACAGCGCGAGCGCGTCATGTTTTCTTCAGAGGTTGTGGCCTCGGGGGCGCGAAGGAGGAGGAGGAGGAGGAGGAGGAGGAGGAGGAGGAGGAGGAGGAGGAGGAGGAGGAGCGAGCTCGTTGTGACTTGTGAAGGAATGAGGCTTCAGGTGCGAGAGCGCTCGCTGACCTTTGCGATAGACTGTGGCCTCGGGAGCGCGACCCATAGGACCATCTGCAGAGCACTGTGGCCCCGGGGCCGCGGACCTCTGGTATGTTGCGCGTCCCGTGGCGTCTTCGTAAGTTCAGACGGCATGACCCTGGGAGGGGCGCTGGGCCCTGTTCGGGCCCCCCCCTCGCGCGGACCTTAATCACTGCTGCGGCGGAATGGTAGCAGAGAGGCAGTAAAAACATACCCTGGGAACCAGACCTTGCGCAGGGAAGGCAACAGCTCATCCCACGCAGCCTGTTGGCCCCCAGGGGGGCTAGCGGGTCCTGGAGGTAGTTGAGTCCGATTTCGCCAAGAACTTGGCCGAGGAGGAGGAGTCCGAGAGCGACGCGGTCGCGGCATACGAGAAGCGGACGCAGGAGATCAAGGTGTCCACTGCCATGAAGAGCCAGAGCGTGACGTACAAAGTCCAGGACTTCAAGGGCCTTGACAAGGACGTGAACGAGCTGTCCTCCGACCGTGTTTCCACCGGCACGGAGCTCGACTCCGTTCTCGAGTACTACGGCAAAGTAAAGGAGCGCTGCATCGCCAAGCCGGAGACCTACGAGGAGCGAGCGTCGCGCCGCCAGCGTGAGATCAAGGGCCTCAAAGAGGCCCTGGCGATCTTGAGCGACGAGACTGCGCCAGCGTTGCTGCAGGCGCGTGGAGTGCGCGGTGCCCGGCGCCAGACCACGCTCGCCGCATGAGGCGCAGCGCACGCGCGCGCGTTGAGCGAGGAGCGATGCTGCCGATCGCAGGCCCCAGGGAAGGACGGACCCGCGCAAGCAGGCGTGCAGGCGCGCTCGCGCGCGCGTGCCCCGCGCTCCTCTCCCCTTGTTCTCCTCCTCCCTCTCCTCCTCCTCCTCCTCCTCCTCCTCCTCCTCCTCCTACTCCTCCTCCTCCTCCTCCTCCTCCTCCTCCTCCTTCTCCTTAGGACTGGACGCTTTGTCCTCTTCCCCGCACGGGCACAGCGCAAACTGCTGCTGCTGCTGCTGCTGCTGCTCTGCTGCTCCTGCTCCTCCTCCCTCCTCCTCCTCCTCCTCCTCCGTTCTCCTCCTTCTCACGCTGATCTTCCGCTCCTCGCCCCTCATCATCCCTCTTTCCCGTCCTCCTCTCCCTTCCCCTTCCTCATCCCGCCTCCTCCTCCCTCCTCCTCCCCGCTCTTCCCTCCTCCTCCTCCTCCTCCTCCTCCTCCTCGTTCTCCTTAGGACCGGACGCTTTGTCCTCTTCCCCGCACGGGCACAGCGCAAACTGCTGCTGCTGCTCCTCCTCCTCCTCCTCCTCCTCCTCCTCCTCCTCCTACTCTTCCTCCTCTACTGCTCCAGGGCTCGGCGACACGGGAAGGGGCATCCCGACTGGCATGCCTGCCCCGTCTGTTGGGAAGGCCCTCTGCGGTTCTGCTTGTTTCGCTCTTGCTTGGTCGAGGCAGCCACTCGGCCGTCCTCGCGGTAGCAGCGGGCACGGCCCTTAGCACCTTGAGCGTCGGATGCTGACTATTGTGAGGCATTTGAGGACCCCCCCAGGCCCCCGAGTTCCAGGCTGTCTATTGTGCTCAAGGGTGCACTCAGGGGGCTTCCCGCGTGACTCTTTCAAAGGCGCGCCTGGAGCCTGCACACTCAACATACGGTCGAGCACGCGATTAAGAAACCTCCTCCCGAACAAGGGGGCCGTCATTTCTTGACCAACTTGCTGGAAAGCTGGCCCAGCTTCTCGAGCACATTCGCCTCTCCAGCGTCAACAGAAAAGGTGGCCTAGGTCAACGGGAAGGAAATCTGGAGAACCGGCCCAGATTTCTTGAAGGATGATTTTTGTTGGTCATACTTTCAGCTGTGCGCCAAGCTCGGACGGGGCAAGAGCAAGGATAAGTCCGTTCCAGAGCGTTCCGGAACGCTCTCAGAACGATCCGGAACGCTCTGAGAATGCCGCGGCGCCCGAGACATCCTCCAGAGCCGTCGGATCTCAGAGATTCTCGATCTATCCTCACCCGATTCAATCCTCGTCCTGGCTTCGTCTTACAAGATGGCCCCAGGGGGTCTTGCTTGGCACTCTCTGCAGTTCCCTGGGGCCGTCCTGGAGCCCCCTGGGGGCGACCCAAGATGGCCAGATCGTGTCAGGATCTT